CCTCCCCACAACCGACACCCTGTGAGCTAGGTAGGGCTGAGAGAGCTCTTTCGAGGACTGCTCTTGAGAGAACAGCTCTGAGAGAGAACTTGTGAGTGACCCAAGGTCACACCAGCAGCTGCATGTGGAGGAGTGGGGAATCAACCCTGGCTCTCCCAGATTAGAGTCTGTGCTCTTAAGCACTACACCAAACTGACTCGGGAGACGTTGTTGTACGGGACTGAGCCAGAAACAGTCTGAGCCCGGCAGAACTCATTTACTGCAGCGATGCGAATGCTGACACCCTCCCCGGTACCCGCCAAGTGTTTTTAGAAAGGAGGGCAACAAAGATGTCGAGGGGTCTGGAGACCAAGTCCTATGAGGCAAGGTTGAAGGAGCTGGGCATGTTTAGCCTGGAGAGGAGAAGACTCAGAGGGGATAGGATAACCATCTTCAAGTACTGGAAGGGCTGTCCTATAGAGGGTGGTGCAGAGTTGTGTTCTCCTGCCCCAGAAGGTCGGACCAGAACCAGCGGGTTGAAATGAAATCAGAAGAGTTTCTGGCTCAACATTAGGAAGAACGTCCTGACCGTTAGAGCGTTTCCTCAGTGGGACAGGCTTCCTCGGGAGGAGGTGGCGGGCTCTCCTTCTCTGGAGGCTTTGAAGCAGAGGCTCGATGGCCCTCTGACAGCAATGCGGATTTTCTGAACGTAGGCAGATCCCAAGAAGGGAGGGCAGGGAAGTTTGCATCGGTGCTTAGTTCTCATGGCCCTTTCTTCCACGCCCAGGGAAATGCCGATCTCGCCACTTTGGGGTCAGGAAGCAATTTCCCCCCAGGCCAGATTGGCCCAGGATCCTGGAAGGGTTTTTTTTGCCCTCTTCTGGGCGTGGAGTAGGGGTCACTGGGTGTGTGTGTGTGGGGGGGAAAGGTATTTGTGAATTCCCTGCATTGTGCAGGGGGTTGGACTAGATGACCCTGGAGGTCCCTTCCGACTCTATGATTCTGTGAGAATGTGCTTCAGCATGTTACTCTGCAAGGCTTTGCCAGGCGTGGCGTTCCGAATGGAGGAAAAATGATTTTCAGAGGTCACAGAATGGATTGAGAACAAGAACGGGCTTCATAGAACTATCCTGAAACACCGATTGCTGCTTCTTGCCTCCGAAATTGTTCTAGTGCACCGGGACCGAGAGATAGGTCATGCAGTCCCACCTGCTGGATAGTGAGCCCCTGTAGAGCTGCCATTTTCTTTGTGGCTTTTTGGGAAAATCTGTGGCCAAGGTACATGTGCAGAGAGCAAGGGCCCCAATTCCCTATTTGTTTCCCCCTATTTCCTGCGCATGGCACTCCTGGTTTGCTGCCCAAAGCCCCTGGCCTTGATACCGATGAGGTCATAATTCTAAACCCCACCTCTTCCTGTCATGTGATTCTAATAGCACATGCTCACAGATCTAGAAAGGCCGAAGACCATTGGACCGGGCGAAGGAATCTTTTTACTCCATCGAAAACAGCTGAGAAGCTCTTCATGATCCAGGACAGCAGAATGTGGAATCCAGGGATTACGTGCATGTGAGAACTGACCCAGTAGCTGTAATGGATTCAGCATTGCTCTTTGGGTTAGAGGACAGGTAGGGAAATAATGATAACCCCCTCTTTCCCCGTGGCCTCGAATTTTCCAATTTTCTCTCGGTATTGTTTGAAAGTGTGAGGGTTCTCGTTTCGGATTTCTCTCCGCAGCCAGAAAGGACGGAAAAAGGGTGTTATCGTCTATTGTAAAATTACATTTTGACGTAATTGCAAGTCACCACAAGCCGTGGCTTCGCCCAGGACCGAATCACAATAAAGTATCAAGCCCTGGCGGAGAGCTGACATTCGCTCGCGGATTTCATTAACCTCCCGGCCACCTCTGGGGACAGGGTGTCCGTTACGCCTGTGACTGATGCACCCTAGCGTCCCTAAGGAGGAAAGGATTGATCGGTCAAAAATTGTTTTTCAGAAAGGCTGGGAGAAATCTGTTTCCATTAAAATGCCACGATAACTCTGTGGGTTTGTCTGTCTGCGTGCATACTATAGGTTATAATGGGCTGAAATAATTCCGCACCAAGACAAATTCTGCAACTTGCATAAATTACGGTAACTAAGGAAGGTCTGCGTAATTCTGCGTATTTCTGCGTAATTCTGCGTAATTCTGAGTATTTTGCATCATTCATGTTGATTCTATGAACCATGGGGCAGGTAAGGATTTAGGGGTACTTCCCCTTGGGTCACAGGAAATCCTATTCAGCCACCCTGGAATGAGATAAGGAAGTAAAGGGAGGTCAGGGGTGCAGAAAATCCCCATGTTCAATTCCTGGCACCTCCAGTTTTAAAAAAAGATTATATTTAAAAGGTTTTTTTTAAAATGCTCTAAATAAATAAATATATGTAGGTGTCCCAGTCCGGTGATCCCGTTTTTTTGAAAATCGTGAAACCGCGTGGAAAATCGGGGGAAGCCGCAGGTCAAAATGCGGCCGCGCTGCTTCGAGTGGGAAATTGACCAATAGGAACAGGGCAAAGGGAGGCACGACCGCGGCGCAGCTCTTGTGTGAAATCGGTCTCTGTCACACAGTGGCCAAAAATACCCGGTGCCATCAGGAGGTCCAGCAGTGGGGCCAGGGCACTAGGAGCCCTCCCACTGTTGCTTCCCCCCCCAGCGCCAAGAATACAGGGCATCCGTTGCCCCAGACCGAGAGTTTCCATCTATACCTTGTGGCTAATAGCCACTGATGGACCTCTGCTCCATATGTTTACCCAATCCCCTCTTGAAGCTGCCCATTCCCCTCCTCATGCTATTTCCTCTTTCCCGCCTCCTGGCAACTCCAGTATCCTCGCCCTTCCCTGCTTCCTTCTCTCTCCCCCACCCATTAATCAAACTGCATTTATCAGCCTCCCAGGGAAAGCGATGCATCTCTGCACAACGAGGCATTGCCTCCTTCCAAAGCAGGGCCACGCCAAGCCTGCATGCTGCTTCCCTTTCACCAGCTGCAAACGAACTCCGTTGGGGGCTGTCTCACGGGGAAGGAGAAGGTGCTGTTTTCCACGCACATCCGGGACAGAGTCGCCCCTCTTTGCAGGTGCCGTCCCAGGGAAGAGGAGAGGTCCAAATGCACCCCGTCTAGATGGCAGGTCGCTTGTAAATAAACAGACGGCTGCGGAGAAACCTGGAGATTCCAGGACTCGGTCCCTCCTCCAGAGAAAATTTCCCCTGGCTTAGAAAAGGGGCAAAGGGGCAGATTGGCCCTATAGTTTAGCAGGAAATTTCACAGTGGCCCGCCGGTGACCACGAGCAAAATGATAAGAAAGAAGTCTAATAGAGGGCCTATATTAAAAACCTAGTTGAAACTTATAATATACAAGAAATGCACGTATTAGAAAGGCAGTTAAAAACAAGGGCTCAGTGAAAGCCTCGCTAAAAAGTTCGAGTGGCCTGAACACAAGGGCCCGTACACATGAACTGACGCGTTTCCGCCCTATTGGGGGCACTGCTATTTGCTTGAGGACGCACTAGCTCTGACTAAGACAGCCACACAGGTACTTTTTGGACCAGAATTGAAAGATGTTCCAATTCAGCAGCTGTGCATTTGGCACCAGACACATGACTCTCATCTTTAGAGGCCTCGCAGACACCTTTGTCTTGTGTCTATTAATCTTGCTGCTTAACCTTCCTTTTCTTGGTCCAGTATTAACTTATTGGTTTTCTTATTGCAATATATAACCTGGTGAAATGAGCTCCCAGAGGAGATCCGGGCCCTGCGGGACCTTATGCAGTTCCGCAGGGCCTGCAAGACGGAGCTCTTCCGCCAGGCGTTCGAGTAGGAGCCCCCGCCGCCACTATTCTACCACCGAGGTGGCAAGTCATCGGCTGCCCTATAAGAACGGGGGCAAGCGGGTCCTGGCAGAAGTTTGAGACAGTGTAGTGGGAGACCACGCTACTGAGACAGCTAGCCACCAAACCTTGGGGGGGGGGTTGTCCCCATCTTGGATGATTAATATAGGTATAGCACCGTATTATTGGAAGGTTTTATTGTGATTTTAAATGTTTTATTTATTAAATACTGTATTGTATTTTGCACTCGGCTTTGCCGCATGTGAGCCGCCCTGAGCCTTTGGGAGGGCGGGATATAAATCAAACTAAATAAAAAATAATAATAATATTGTAACGTGTACCTCAAACTGTTTGACCTCTGAAGAAGGCCCCCAGCAGGGCGGAAACCCATCAGGTCGTGTGTATTGGCCTTTGTGTTCAGGACACTTGAACTTTTCAACGAGGCTGTCGTTGGGCTGTTACTGGTTTTTACTGCCTTTCTAATAAATACATGTGTTTTTGTATATTGTAAGTTTCAGCTAGGTTTTTAATATTGGCCCTTTATCAGACTTCTTTTTTACCATTGTGGTTCTTGATTCCAGTTTTTGGGTCAAGTTTGTTTCCCCATCCCTGTGCCTTACCTACATGAGGGTTTGACGGGCTCTCTGAACAGCTGTGTTACCGTGGCCCATGTCCATAGCAAGTGGATCCTGTGGCTTCCTCCAGGGCTGTTTTAACATCCCAGCAGAAAATAATATTTGACCGCCTGCCGTAGACAGGGCCGGCTCACTCACTAGGCGAACTAGGCGATCACCTAGAGCGGGACGGCCCTTAGGGGCACCAAACTGCACCCGGCCCCGTACTCTGGGAGTTTCTTGATTATATGTGTTTTTCATTCTTCCTAAAATGCATTTATTTTTGAAAATTGGTGGGCGCACGGGGGGGGCATAAGGGATCCTTGCCTAGGGTGCAAAATAAGCTGGAGCCGGCCCTGGCCGTAGATTTGCAGAACATTGTCTTACCTGGGACGCTAGCCAGAGTGACAACCCTGAAGCTGTGTCTGCCCAAGTTTTCCCTCTCTTTGGAAGGTTTGCAGCCACGCATGGGCCCCTTCGTTGCTTTCCGGGCCATCCGAAAACGCTGACTCCATGCCCACCTCTTGTTTTTCCAGCCACGACTCATGACGTCCACACGGGCTTTGTTTTATGGCCCGCCGCCAGCCATGTCCCCGCCTTCCAAGAACAAATTCAAGCGCCAGAGCAGGATATTTTCTCAGGTCCTGTACCGGACGCTGAGCTACAAGGACCGCAGCTCGGTGGCCGCCTACCCGGTGGAGAGCAAGGATGATCCGGCCGAGCTCTCCACCCAGATCTCCGCCCCGGGGGTCCTCAAGGTGTTCGGGTGCCACATCTGCGCAGGCACCCACTACAAGAGCGTCCTGGCGACGGCCAGCTCCAGCGCCCAAGAGCTGGTGAAGGAAGCCCTCGAGCGTTACGGCCTAAGCAAGGTGAACGCCAACCATTATGTCCTCTGCGACGTCATTGGACGGTTTGTGGGTTCAGAGAAGCAGTGGCAGATGGACGGCCTGCGGGTGCTCCGGGACAACGAGAAACCTCTCTCGATCCAGGATCTCTGGAAGCCCCGGGAAGGGTTCTCCCGGCGGTTCGAACTCCGGAAGCGATCGGAGGTGGAGGAGTTGGCCGCCAAGGACAAAGACACCCTCACGGCAGGTAAGAAATAAGAGGGTTTTTTTTTCTTCTCCAGGAACGGGTATGTGTGTGTGTGGAATTCTGAGCTAGCTGGGCCCTGACCTACCTATTTCTTTTAAAAGGCGGGTCCAGCCCAATTGCTGTCAACTTGGGGTTCTCGTTCTGACCTTTGCCTGGTGTTCGGTTCTCGGTATTTATCCTCCGTCTTGTTCTCGGTTAAAGGAAAACGATAGGAATACGAAGAAACGTGTGGTTCTGTTTTTTAATTTGTTTTCACGTTTGTGTACTTTTTTGTTTTTGCTGTCGCGTCGCAGCTGAATTACGGCGACCCCGTAGGGCTTCCAAGGCAAGAGGCGTTCAGAGGTGGGTGGCCCCTGCCTGCTTTTGCGTCACAACCCTGGACTCCTTTAGAGTTCTCCCATCACCAACCAGGGCCGGCCCCGCCTCAGCTTTCAAAGATCTGGCAAGATCCAGCTAGCCTGGGTTTTGGATTATATACGGTTGCCAACTCCAGGATGGGAAATTCCGGGAGATTTGGGGGGTGGAGCCTGGGGAGGGTGGGCTTTGGGGAGAGGCGGGACCTCCGTGAGATGTAATGCCGTAGAGTCCACTCCCCAAAGCAGCCATTCTCTCCAGGGGAACTGATTTCTGTTGTCTAGAGGTAAGTTGTAATTCCAGGGGAACTCTAGGACCCACCTGGAGGTGGGCGATCCTGTTGTAAGAGACTGGTACCAGTGGCCTCATGTTGTCGGATGGAGGGTCCTGCCTTCTTTTTGAGTTAGAGTTCTACCAGTCAGGGGCCATTTCGTAGAAAAAGAGGTGCAGGAGCTCATTCGCACAACTCATTCACATAACTCATTTGCATAGGCCACACCACCTGACATCACCGGAAGTGTGTCAGAAGGCCACACCCACCGCTTAGGCTCCACTGGACTATGTTGGATTGCTAGCTATTGGGGGTGTGTGTGCAGATGATGTCACCCACAATGACGCCACACACGCAACGACCCCGACACGACGACGTCACCCGGAAGCTATGCCATCGTAACAGGCAGCGTCGCACACGGCACTTTGGTTTCGAGGCAAACCTCTATGGGTTTTTCGGCTTCGCGACCATAGAGTTTGCCCCAAAACCAGAGCGCCGCTGCATGACATCCCCACAGCACGATGATGTCACCCAGAAGTGACATCATTTGGGGGGGGGGCTCCCCCTGGCCAGCAGTGGATTGCAGCCCCCAAAAGTGGGGGAACTCCCCTGTTGCCCGCTGGCTAGGACTTGGCCCTGGGTGGGGGCCTTCCACAGAGAAAGGGGTGGCCTGGCTGTTGCTATACAGACAGGCACCGTGAGAAGACGTTTGTCTGAGGAGCGGTAGCTGGTGCATGGGAGTGTGACAAGAGGAGATGCGGTTCGCAAAGTCTGAGCACCCTGCGCCGTGAAGGGCTTTGCAGGCAATAAGGAAGGAAGGAAGGAAGGAAGGAAGGAAGGAAGGAAGGAGGGCGAAAACGTAACCCAAAACCGTGAATTAAAAAACCTGAAAGATTAAAGGGATAACCCTAATTTGAGCCCCCTAGTCTGTATCCAGTTAACTTTAAATCCACTTGTCGGCCCCAGAAGCAAGTTAGATAGCCAGTGCCCTGGGTGCGATCCATTTCGAGTTGCTGACGCCTGACAGGAATCTCGCTGTGGCGTTTTGTACCCATTGAAGCTCCTGAATCGTTTGCAAAGCCATGTAAAATGCATTTTGCTAACCAGGGGTCATTTCGTAGGAAAAGAGGCGCATTAGCATAACTCATTAGCATAACTCATTTGCATAGGCCACACCCCCTGATGTCACCGGAAGCGTGTCAGAAGGCAACACCCACCGCTCAGGCTCCACTGGACTGTTTTGGATGGCTAGCTATTGGGGGGGGGGGGAGAACACGCAGATCTGCCCTCACAGAGGAGGGAGAGCTGGTACCTGAATAAGACTTGGTCTTAAAGGTGCCACTGGACTGTTTTGGATTGCTAGCTATGGGGGGGGGCCTCTGCAACTTACCTGGCTGCTTCTTGCTCCGACTGAGGGCTGCTGGGAGCAGGGGGTGGGGCTTGTTGCATGTGCCCGCCCCCTGGGCTCTTTACTGCCGGAGTTCCGCCCCTGTGCACTCCTGCAGGAAATGACCCCTGATGCTAACTATCAGAGTTAGTTGCCGTCTGGCAAGACACCGATGTTTCAGTCTATTATGTTTTGATCTCGCTTTTCTTACAAGGGCTCCGGATGATATATACTGTTTTCCATTCCCATTTGGTCCTAGCAATAACCCTGCGAGGTTGGCTAGACTGAGAGAGAGTGAGGGACCTAAGATCATGGCTGAATAAGGCGTGGGGAGGATATTTTTGTATTTGTGTACGTGCGCCTGGAAGCCATGGCGACCTCTGGTGACTGACCCCCTACTTGAGGGCCTGGAGGATATTCAGTGTGGTGGCTGAATAAGGCCTACCCCCGCCTCCCGACTGCTGGTATTCCGAGGAGGTCTCCCACCCAAGGACTTGCCAGAGTCGACCCTGCTTAGCTTCTGAGATCTGACGAGATTGAACTTGCTTGGGCTATCCGGACCAGGGCAGCGACAACTTCTCGTTGGTGTCAGAGCTAAGGAATATCAGAAATGGGAAACCTGCCATCATGGGAAGTCTGCCTGTCTGTGAGAGTCAGTGTGGTGTAGTGGTTAGAGTCTCAGACTAAGATCCAGGTTCGAACCCAGGTTTATTTATAAATTACCTGGAACTAGGGGTGAGTATCGCAGTGGCCAAGTTTGTAGAGGACACAAAATTATTCGGGGTGGTGAAAGCCAAGGCTGACTGTGAAGGGCTCCAAGAGGACCTCCGCAAATTGGGTGGGTGGGCGGGCGGGCGACAACGTGGCCGACGAAGTCCAGTGCTGTCAAGTGTAAGGTGATGCACATTGGGACAAAAAAATCCCAACTTCAGCTGAGGCTGAGTGGGAACAAGATCTTGGGGTGATAGTGGATGCCTCCGTGAAAATGTCAAGCCAGTGTGCTGTAGCGGTCAGAAAGGCATAAGAACATAAGAGACGCCAATGTTGGATCAGGCCAAAGGCCCCTCCAGTCCAACACTCTGTGTAACACAGTGGCCGAAAATACCCGGTGCCATCAGGAGGTCCAGCAGTGGGGCCAGGACACTAGGAGCCCTCCCACTGTTGACCCCCCCCCCCAGCCACCAACA